ACATTACCAGCAAGTAGTTTATTTTAATTGTTTCTTTGGAACCAATAGAATGTAGAACTCAGTCAGCATTTTAACACATAATACAAAATCCCAGACATTTTGTATTATGATTATTTAGACTATTAAATCTTAGCAGCAGGGTCAAAGTTTTAAAACAATTGTAGTAATAATAACACCCTTTAGCTAACACCAGAAGAGAGAAACTACATGACCAGCTAGTGATCATTTAAGTGATAAATACTGAATCCCAGCAGGTGTGAGAGTGCTGTCTTGAGCCGCCATCAAGTGATGGAGCAGGCTGTGAACTACACCTCCCAGCCCGAAAACCCCTGTGAACACTGAACATGTCGTGTAAGAATGCTTCTGGATGGGATCAAAGTCGGAGACATGCGTGCATTGTCTTCAGGTCAAAGGTCAGGACAGTTCCAGAGGGTCAGGCTCTGACTAGCTGGCCTGATTCCCTTGGCGTTGGATCAGTCACATCAACCGATTGGGCCTGAAGGCTACAGTAGGTGCTAACATGGTAGGGATTGTTTCCCATGCAGCATACAGGGATTGGGGTCAGATGTGTATTAATCTAGTACCACGTGCTTCCGTGGAGACTTTTAAAGCAGATATGATGAAAAACGTAGCTCTCCCCCAGTTTGAGTGGCTTTCCTGTCAATGTTCACATAGGTTAAGTGTAAGTCAATTGTTTCAGTACTGACAATAATTTTCAAACTCTCTTTCTGTTCCAAGAGGGGAGGCTCATTTACACTGTCTAAATCGATATTAATCTTTGTTCATAAGACAACTTAACATTTTGATTGATTTACATTTTGAATTGCTTTACTATGCAGCATTTTATTCTTTAAAGCAGATGTGCTGTATGACTTTTGCTTTCCCACTTTTTCTTTTGCATGTTGCTATCTCAAAACAAATTCAATAGGAATACAGTATAAGATGCATAGCTTTACACAAGAGTTAATCTTTCCTTAAAAATTCCCTTGATTCCTGTACTTTCTGTGGATTGGTCTGCGATTGCCCCGGACAGTTCTCAGGTTGTAGTTCTGGACAAGCCAAAAACATCTGAATCCTTTTGCGATGGAGTGTTTTGTGTGGAGAGGTTATGTGTCTACTCAACCAAGACTAATTAAAACTAATAACTATATACAGTAAAGTGACAGGGGATTCCTTTCTGTCTGACATTTTTCCAGGTCAGTTTGTACATCATGTAAAATCCAGATTTAAGTGCTTTACATTTAGTTCCCTTCTAGTGTTATAAAGTAAACATGCATTTTTTTGCTGGAGAGGAAATGCTGTGATGAAAAATCAGAACACTGACACAAGCTGTTTTTTTTTTCTTTACAAACAGGAATTTATTAAAACGTGCAAGCAGAAGTGTGTCTCTGCAAGTAGTGTATTGTCCTTTATAAAGAAGCCAGAAATGTGAGATGTAACCATGCTGTGTATTTTGTTAAAGAAAAGTTTACATTACAACAGACAAGCATGTTTCTTCCAAACACGTTAGTACACCGTGATATTATTTGTAATGGGTGAATACAAAACCACAATTCACACACACAACAGTGCTGTGGGGACTGGTCTGGCTGTGGACTCTGTTTGGACACTTCAGGCTTTAAAGCTTTTGGTCACCCAGGATGTGATGCATTCCCTCTGTGAGCAGCTGCAGCACAAAGTGGACCCCAACAATTCACTGCTTACCCTAGCTTTCTTCTTCTAGTGAATATCTGGTAAAGACACTTGTCGTACAAGCAAGGAATCTGGTAGGATTAAAATCCGTATATTGTAGCTTTCTTTTTTGGCTGTGTACATTGTCTTATAAAATTGACCAAGCCATTTCGTATGGAAGATGCAATCAGGAGTGCACTGTTTTAAATACTGAATTTATCCTTATTAAGTGGATACGCTCAGGGCTTATAACAAGTGTCATTAAAAAAGCCTATCAAAATGTTACATTCTCATGCACCCATTTCTGTACCTTTACATGGAAAGGCATGGCACTGTGAGTTAGGAAAGACAATTTAGTTATGACACATCTTGGATTTTTACACATACCACAGCATCTGCTCCCAGACATAAGAAGAAAAGCAGCACAAGACTAAGAGTTTGAAAGGACAAGCCCTGTGCTCTCAGCTGAGGAGCTGACCATGTCTGTCGACTGCTGGGATCTGCTGGACTTCAGAAGAAATTAAAGCCCCTCTAGGTCAGCTGTGTGCAGTGAGGTGACACCTGAATTGGCTATATTGCATAGAATAAGAATACAGAACTAAACTGTATAGATGAAAACAAAAGTTAAAAAATAGATGGCATTTTGTTAGAAGTGAACTAAAAGAATTACAAAAAGCTTAGTCACATTTGTGTTACTTCTATCTAAACATCCTCTGCTAACATTTGGCTTACTTTGTTGTGTATTATTTCTAATCAGTGCCACAAGATTCTTTTGTACAGTAGAGCATCTACAGTATTGTTTTAGTTTTCTTGGACCTTTAATTCTGCCGTATTGGTAGGGTAGCGTAAGCTTCAGTGCTTGTATAGTCAGTAAATTTGGCACTCAACATGCACCTGAGAATCTCATCCCTTCAGCGTGCAGTCAGGCCAGCTGCATGCTTCGGTGAAAGACAACGCTTTCACTGCACCTTCTGTGTTCTCCAATAAGACACCCCCTCTCAGCGCTGTGCGGCGGAGTATCATTCTCAGACTCTGCCTGACCTTACAGCATGATCACTGACAATCACTGATGATCATGTCCGCTTGCACCTTTTTATCAGCACTTGGTACAATACGGGGTCTATAAGCATGTCCTGATAGGATAAAAAGGTCTGTGAACAATGTGAACTTTGTAGGATGCCTAATGTGCAAAATGCTTTAGCACATTATAACTCCACCGAAGCTCTTTTGTAAGGCAAAATAACATTGTCACCGTATAACCTCAGTATTCAAAGGTACCAGTGGGCAGGTATAGGACTGTTTGATGGATTACAACAAACTGCGCTGAACCAGTATTTTTTTCACAAATCTAAATTTGCTTTTATTGCTTAGGTCTTTTTTTATGTTTTCATTCACACCTTTTCTTTGTTATTTGAGACTGTAATTATAAGGCATGATTCAAAGAATTCTATATTTGGAATGTAGTCGAAGACTCAGGTTACAGGAATAGAGCTTTAACACTGAAATGAAAAGTAGGATTAGAAGATGTCTCAATGGTGTATTAACCCAATGAAACAAGAAAAGAAAGCTGACTATCTCTTTTAATCTATGACTGTACTTTTTGTGGGTTTTCATAGAAGGATTTGAGCACAAGGAGTTTGTGAAGTTTTATAAGAAGATACAGATGCACTGTTTAATCGTTACTATGACTAGAGCAAGATTTCAATATTTTCTTTGAACCCTAAGTACAATCCTAAGAGAAATCAGCCCTCCTCAGTTCCTCTGAAAATAGGAAAAGTGTGAAATACCAGGGGCCTGTGGTTCAGAATTAAAAGAAACCTGTCCATTAGTTTTGAGGAAAGTGCTGAACACTCCAAGGGGGAAAATATAAATCAGGGAGCTGCCTGCAATATATTATTTGCAATATTACAGCAGAGTATTACACACTCTGCTGTAATATTGCAAATAATATTTTTATGAGACTATTTCTCCAAGCTATCAAGTGTTTCCCCATTTCAAAGATTATATTATCTGTACAGGAGCCACAACGACAGGTGAAAAAACAGATTAGCAAGAGGCAGAAGCGTCATGTCTCTGTGAACTCAGAAGCGTGAAGTCTCACACTCCTTAAATTTCAAGTCAAATCTGACTTCAATTACTGGAGAATCCAGCACGGTTTTGCTAAATATGAGTTGAAACCTTACTGCCCCCCGCCCAAGATTAACAGAGCTTGTCATACGAGTTTCTTTTGTTTTTCTGAGAATATTAATCCTCAGAAATGCTGGAGCTTTGCATTCAAATGTTTCTCATCTGGAACACGTTGAATCTAAATTTGTTAGTAAAAAAACTGTTCTGAATTAAGTCTCTTTAGTGTGATGAGATGAAACCTCTCTTGCAAACAAGCTGCTCCTTCTGTTTTCACATGGGGGATAAGATGGATGAGAATTTTAGAAGTGCCCAGCAGGGGGCTCAAGTCTCCGATGCTGTGGTGTGGTTATTCCACAAAGAAGTTTACAAATAAATCTTGCTGTGTTTATCAATAAGACGCAGCCCCTTGTGTGTGCTATGTGTGTACTTCCAGTCATCAACATGCACTGTTAATGATGTTGTTTTCAGATAACAGTTTGCAACTTCCCCCTGAAAACCACATGGATATGGGCCTTCAGGAGCAGAGTTAGAGAGCTGGTATCCATTCCAGCCATACCTTTGCTATACCTATTTAAACTCATAACCAGTGGTAAAAGAGTTCTGAGAGTATGGACACCAACTTGTAGCCTGACCTCAGCAAAACTAAGCCTAGGATGTGAGCCCTCCCAGGAAAGCCAGGCTCCTGCCGTAAATGATATTAGTGGACCAGTAGGTGGCACTCTTCCCTGTGGATCAGACTTTCCAAACCAACGACCCAGTATAGTGATAGGAGAGAATGAGCTGCAGAATGTGCCATCCTTTGGATTAGACTGTACTGGGTTCCTGGATGTGTGAATATGAGGCCATTAGGATCCAATGTCACTGTTTCATGACTACTTTGAGATTAAAGTCACTGCTTTTGTCTCTCTTTTGTGTTTTGCCGTGAGAGCTACACTGCAGTACAAGACTCCTCGGTATAGCATAGACTACGACAAACACGGCTCAACTTTGGATGCAATACAGAGGACCGATGGAGACTGTCATGCAAAAGCAATTACTTTTACCCACAGCCATTTCACCAAGCTCGGAGGCAGATCTGTATCTCAATGGACCTACACGAACAAACTCTGCAGGGTATCTTCGCTGAATTCTCTACTCGTCTTTAAGTGCTTTGGGCATCTTGTTTTTATGCCCATTAAAAAAAATTACAGTGACGCGTAAACATGGTTTGACTGGAATTCCTTTATATGAACAAATTTTAAAAATAACAAAGCATGAGGCTTATGTGCTAACAAGAGGACAGTGTTAGTGCAAATTGTGTCTCCTTATCAAACTAAGTTTCACAGTATTAAATTAATATGTGTATTGTGAGTCCCTGTTAGCTTCTTCAGTTCAGCACTTTAACACGATTCTGAATAGAAACTGGTAAATAAATGAAAATTACTCCTTCATGCCATACGCTTTAGAAAATGAAAATGCTTTGTTTTGGACAGTACAGGATATGGATACAATCACCACAGATTACTGATGATTGCCTTTAATGTGTATTGCTACTGACCTGTGTGCAAGATGGTATAATTCTAGAATCACTTATTGAAACACTTAACTGGACAAGTTTCTGCGTATTACACTTTAGCATTAGACATGCTCCAGCTTTTCTGTCTGGCAAAAAAAAACGCCTGATACATACTGTGACAGTAACCATACAGGCATGTTAGTGCAGTATCATTTGTGTTCCTAGTCCTCATTCTGCTCTTTGTACAGCTTCAATAGCTGAGAGCCTGTGCCCAATTCCAAAAACAAGAGGAGTAAATCTTAGCAAAGGAGCAAACGTTTAATAAGTGTGCTTCATTCCAATGGTCTTCAGCTGCCGCTCAGCACGTATGAGTTACTACTGTGATTGAGAAACAAAATCAACATTTTTCCATCTGACAACTGACAGTACACCTTTGGCAGGAGAAAAAATGAAAACATGAATCTAGATACACTTATTTAAAAAGCATTAAGTGAAGTAATTATTTTGTCTGACAAGAATAAAAAAAAATCAAATCTACTATGCACCCAGATAAAGTACAGGGTAATACTGTTCTTTTATATGGGGAAGGATCGTGCATTATCAGACAGAGCACTGTGTAATGTTTAGAACAATGGTGACTGATCTGCTTTTCTCTTTGAGGTTGATACACACATTTCTACAGTGGTAGATGCAAGGGATGGATTCTCAGCAGAGTGAATGGTGATCTTGGCTGTCAAATTTCCTTTTCAGCTAAGTCTAACCTTTTTTAAATATTCCCTGGCCTGCACTGTAAGGATTGTTATATCACAGACAAGTGTGCTTTCTGCTCACCCCTGATCCTGTATCAGACAGCTTCACTCATGCAGATTCCTGAAACATTCTTTTAGTTCTTTAGCCCAGCACAGACTTTCCCATACATTTTTTTTTCATGAAAAGTGGCAATTCTATAATTAATTGGAAATCACATCAAAGGTCTACAGGCATTGAACACTGAGCTCATCCTGACTCTTGGGGTTCGGGACATGCAGAATGCTTCTTAATGTGGAAGTGGGGACGTCTTAATGCACTGATTGATCATGGCGGGTAGATCTGTCAAAAACAAAAGGGAAAATGCAAACCCCTCGGGATTCGGGATGGATGTGGGATCGCGTCATGCTCAGGTTCTCGAAGCTGTACCCCAGCGGGGTTCCTAGGCCTTGCCCTCCAGGATGACGGTCTTCAGATCCGCGGGGGTGTTGACACTGAAGACTTTGTGCGAAGAGTTTCTCTTCTCCACCAGTGAAGCCACAGCTTCCCCCAGGTCCAGATGGTTGATGTACCCAGGTCCCATGCGGTCTGGGGTGGCCACTCCTGTGTTGACCTTCACCTGTTGAGCACGATGCACACAGAATACTCATTGAGCGAGAGGGGTGTGATGTAGTGAGAGTTGGCTCTGCCGCCATCTTGGCTCCAAACCCGAGCTCCAGTGGTGTGTCTTGAGCCAAGATGGTGGCTTTCTCACAGAATAGGAGAGACTTCTACTACACAAGACAACTTCAAACCTATGGTGCAAACCATCCAGCCCGAGACGACTCACACATTACATACTTGTATTCTCTACGCTACGGCTTCTAGTATAGCAATCCTGTTTAAATTAATATCCATATGGATGATATTTCAAAGAAAGGTGTCAATTACAGTCATCCTTGTAATTGTGAGGGACGTTCAGGAGAGAGGTTCTCTTATTATTAACTGATTGATTTCATTTCTCATTGTGTGCATGTGGCATTCACACAAGCACACCAACAGATCCTCTGTCCCACCGTCCCTGAGCGTTTGAAGCTGACCGCAAAGGCATTCACTGTTAATCATCCGAATTTTGCGGTCACTGGGGAGCCGTGACTCAGAATGAAAACCATTTAACCCCCACACACACTGCTGTCTAAACGGTGATTCACAAGACAGTGTTTGGATTGGCAGCAAGCCCGTGATTGAAATTTGGGCTGAAACGCAAATCAAGTGGGCATTGTGAGAGAGCGTACCAGGGCACACCTCATCGCAGAGCTAAGACAATGCTCTTTGTGTTCCCAGGAAAAGTGAATGATAGGGGGATGGGGACAGATCTATTGGAAGCTGTTTCGGCATGGGACAAATTGAAACAAATTAATCGCTCAAAACATTTTCAGGAGATGAAAACGATAAAGACACGTCAAGGTTTTCTTTTGATGGGCGCCTTCCTGGTCTTGCAATGGGATTTTAATTGCAAGGTCTGTGGGAATGGAATACATGCCATACATACATAGTCAGACCACTGCCTTCTGAACACAGTGCTACTGTATCCACAGGTGGACAAACACCACCGCTGCCTGCCCTGTCCTCACACACAGCAAATAGCTTTAATAGAGTCTGGGCATTAATGATCCTTTGCAAGAAGCAGGTCCTGATGTGCTCATTCAGCACTTTAAAATGCAATCTGCAAACATGCTAAGAATTCTCTCTCCGAACAGCTGATGGAACGAGCCTCTTGAAGTCCAGTATGCAGGTCTGTGCTAAATCCAGATTATTCCATAAGGAGGAGAAGATTGTGTTGTCAACAGCCTCTGTTCACTTCAGCGTTTGGAAATCAGTGATTCTTTGAAACCAGGGCTTACACAGCACCAGGAGCGATGTGCAAACTCAGCTCACTGCAAGCCCGGGCGGGACCACTGGGCAGCCCTGAGGCTGACTCACCTCGTTCAGCTTGCATGGCACTTCTGGGTACTCCTCCCTCACCACCTGGCAGAACGCCAGCGTGGCCGCTGCCCCCAGGGTCAGGAACCCCGTCCCGGGCATCAGCAGCCTCTCCCCCGCGCCACCTGAAACACACGGCACCCAGGCACCTGAGGAGCGTCCCTGTGCTGGGACTGCCAGAGACGGGCCTCCTCCGGCCCACAAACGCTACCCCTTTTACTAGGTGAAGTGAGATGAGGACATGCTCAAGTCTCTCAAGCTATTAGCTGGAAGGCGTTCTCTTTAAGTGATATCTGCTATGCCGGGTTTGGAGTCCCATTTTAACTGATGGTTGGAATTGTTTCCTGCCACATCTCAGGTCTCGAGATTATTTCATAAAGTTAAGTTTAGGTCTAAGATTATTTAGTTTCAGATTGGGGTTTCCTAAAATTCCCAGGAGTCTCAAATTCAGTTTGAGTGCGGGGGGCTGCAGTGGTCCAGAAGACCAGAGGACTGTGGGGTCCCTTCTGCTTCAGGTAGTAAAAACTCAAGAGGTGTTTGCCCTCTGTGTTTTGAAACAAGCATGCCTTTTAGGTTGTCAGCTGTCAGAGGCCCTGAAAGACGTTTTAATTACGGTGCGTTCGGGTAGGAATGAAAGCTGGTACAGTCTGCAGCCATGCGGGAATGAGTATGGTTCTGCTGTTGTACCTGTTATAGGCCAGGGCTACTCAACTGGAGCCCCACCAGTTAGCTCCATTGCTGTACTGTGATGTAACTAAGTCCTTTACCGCTCTATTGATCCTACTGCTTATCAGTTGAACTAATCAAGGAGAGGGTTGTAGCAAACTTGTGGCACAGATGGACTGGAGGGACAAGTTGAGTAGTCCTGGGTGCTTTTCTACAAACAGCACACCTGCTCACAGTGTCAGACAGGTCTGCGAGTGAACAAGTAGCAGGGGTTTCCCAACTACAGAGCTCTGTGTCGCCTCCTGTTGGCTTCAGTGTGGAGCTGTGGCTAGGATTCTGAACTGGAGGGCTGTAAGTTTCAGTCTTAGGGGGCTGAGGCTGTTTTTCCCTTGAGCAAGAGACTTTGACTTCACTGATCCAGTAAACGCCCTGCTGAATAAATTGTTCTCCAGCTTGTCACTGTGAATTACTGCTACAACTCTTATATGGTGCTTGTAAGTTCACATCCAGACTAGTTTTTAAATGTGTAATTCCAACATTTGGCCAAACATCTCAGAAATAACAAGAACTTAGTTGCATGTTTATTTTACAAGGTGCTACATATGGCCATATCAAACTGTATATTGCTATATTTTTGTTTTTTAAGGTGTGTGACAGGTAAGCAATAACATATGTCACGCTTGTACTTCAATTAACAGCTTTGCCTCAGGCTAACTTGAGTCGGGTTGAATACATGTCACAGAATACCAACAGAAGTACAACAGGGTTTATGTTCAAAACAACCTTTAATCTGCCGTCTCTCCATGCTGCTACAGCTAGGCCTTTATACAAACCCTGATGCTCAGTTTGAAATCTACAGATGCAGGAATGTGCAAGGAAGGAGAACTGAGCTATAGTTCTATTAATTCAAATAGTTGTCACGGCATGTGGCGATACTCCTTTTCACTATGTTTGGAAAATTCTACCGCTTGCTACGAAGTGGGTAATGAAGAAGACTTCAACTCTACAGACCTATACCGTATGTCCGAAAGATGTTTTCAGTAATTCAGTTGCCAGTTCAGTAAATGACCGTTTTCTTTAATTGGTCATGAATTTGTACAAACGTGTCTCCCATTAAACTAGCCCAAGCGTTCATGAGCAGAGTTTGACACTTCCTGGAAAGAAGCGCGGATTCGAGGTCAGACACGTTCCCATGTGGGCAAGCCGGGTCGGTGCAAATGCCATAGCGATGCTGATCTGAAGAGCTGAACTACAGGTGTTTTTGTAAATGATGACACACATCAAGCCAACAAAAAAAGTTACATGTGGTTCTGTGGTACTTATCTATTACAATTCTCTTACAAGTATCTTGTAGTATCGAGTAGATGGTATAATAGATACACTTTTATATTTACCATGACAACCCTAAACTCAGCTCTAAAGGACTTAAGATGAAACAAAGTCTTGTTGAACAATCAGAATACACAGCTGATAAACACACTGCAATCGATAAACAACAGGTTGAATAAAACAGCGATTCAGTGCGTCTGGAAGAGATGGGCTGTGATGTGATTTTTTGTCTCTGCCTTACAGAGATGTGAAACACTCACCTGTGATGAAGGTGTATGTTCCGCTGGGACTATCCTTTACCAAGGGGAAAAATGCTTTCCAGGATGTGAATGTGCTCAGCACTAATGTTTCCAGTACCTAAGAGAGAAATGATAATGGTAAAATAGAGCACTCCTTTTTTCAGATGTCCTGTACCATCTTTAATAAAAAAAACTGACTCCATACAACATGACTGGAAGATTGTGGGTTGAAATCAATCATTGTACCCCTGATCGAGGTGCTTCACACAGATTGCTTCAGTTAGGTGTAATACATTTGGGGTACTGGTGGTGTACCAGTAGGCGGCGCTCTTCCCTCTGGCTCAGACATTCCTTATCAGTGCACCAGTATATAATGGGTATATAAGCACCAGCTCACCCGGTGCAGCTCCTTCAGTGGCTGTGTATGGGGAGGGCCGCCCTGCCACCAGCTGAAGCCCAGCGAGGACACGATGTCCGTCACCTTGCCCACACTCTTCAGCAGGTTGTTCTTGGCTGTTTCAGCTCCCTCCTCAGTCCCTGGGAGACCAGGAGAGAAACACACCCATTGACCGGGGGGACTGACAGGGACACTGCAACTGGTCCTTCTCTTCTGACAGATCAGGGCTTAAATCTGACACTGGGATCAGAGACAACTGATGTTCATTTCGGTTTCAGTTTGGATGCAGAAAATACTTATTGGCTTCGGGTGTTTTTATCTAAAATTAAAATTGATTACATCTTTCCAGAACTCAGTGAAGCATCAGGGAGCCTTTGAGTTGTACTTGAATAATCACAAAAATAGTCAGACGTAAATAATTACCATTTGTTGAGCTCTGATACAGATACATTTTCTGTATCTGAAGTGGAGGATTTTCAGTATCTTATCTTTCAGCCAGGCTTTGACAGGTGACTCAAATTTGGAAACTAACATATTGCTTAGAAATGAAATTTAAACAAAAGTAATTGTGCTATTAATCACACCTTGTAAAACTAAGAGAAAGCTGTAAACATGTCTCAAACACAGCTTAAGCATGGCTGGAAAACGTGCTCCATACTCCTACAACCATTTGTGTAAACACAGCACCCCCTGTTCTTTGTTTTAACTAGGTGTTGTCTTTGTTTTGGTCCAGGACCTGAAATCCCGAGAAGAGAAGGTTTTCTAAGCAACACCAATGTGTCTTACCTACATCTCCCACCAGAGTATAGAGGTTGTCTTTGGTGGAAGGGCTGATGAAGTTCTTCAGCTTTTCCAGTCTGTTGCCATCCCTGGAGATCACGGCCACTCGGAAACCTGGACAAAGGAGGCCAAGGCGTGAGTCGATTGGAATGCTGTGTGTACACCCGATTATATGCCTGATGGATGACTTGCACGAGCTGCCTAGCTCACTCCCTGGGATCCCTCAACGAAGGGGTTAATGACATTGTCACACCTCTGCCGTATATATCACTTACAACCCAGAGAGCCCATCAAGCATCTAGCGTCTAGCAACACAATTATTAACGAACAGTGCTGTTTATCTGCTCTATAGGCTGATGAGAATTACTATAGTATGTGCCCATGAAATGTAAGTCTGAAATCCTATTATTTTTTAATTATGTAATGCAATTACTGGTTTACTTACAGTTAAATTATATTGGCAGTTTATCTCTTTTGGGATAATTAGAATTACAGCTTTATTCTCCATTATTATATAATATTTGTACATTTATCAACACAATCTGTTAGTACATAAATTAACTTATAAGATGCACAATTAGTTGATTTTGATCAGAGACACTTCCATTCTCTGTGGTAACAGAACTAATACCATTTTACTGTTTTCCAAAGAAGCTTATCAGCTTCAGGCATGACTGACAGCACACAGCAGTGTCTTTCAAGACATAGCTTGCCCACAGACTGCACAGCACTTTTGCCCAAGTTACAGGTGAGGCAGTTTTCCAACTTTATTTTGTCACTGATCAAATTTAGTTCTTATCGGGTAAATCATGTGAAGTGTCCATTTCTCAAATGCCATTAGAAGTGATTTTCAGAGGCTAGGTGTAAACTAAGGCTCATCGTCTCGTCAAATGAGCAGAGCTCAAGGAGGGTCACTATCTTGCCTGTTGTTACACACAGGGAGTCCATGGGAGAACTAGGATTTGAACAGGTAACCTCCAAACTGTATCACCTCAGCCCCATGGTGAAACCATTCTAATTCTATTAGTTTTTTTCATGTACAGAACCACCCCTTCCTATATCAAGTGTACTAGTCTTAAGAGGGTCAGTGTAGTGCACAACCGGCCATGTTACAAAGTAGGATGAAAGATGAAAGACTCATCAATCTACCATTGTAGTTAGCTAATCATTATTTGCATTGACATGGTTGGCAAAGAAAGTTACCCTGCCAGTCTAGGGTGTCTGCAGTGTGTCTAGAAGATTTTACGCAAGTATCACTTCCCAAAATTTCCCAATTTTTCTGATTTTGCAATAGCTTCAATCCTCAAGATCCCACCCCAAAATTACATTCTTGTAAATTACTGATAGATGGTCCTGTTAATAATTAAGGTGCGGGTTTATTTAAATTCTTACCAGATAAAGACAGTGGGAGCTATGGCGATTTTCATCAATTACCAGTGCGTAAATAAGTGATCTAATTTAGCAGCTCAGAGCTCAAAAGGGAAAAAAAGTCTTTATCAGTGGTGACACTGGGGTGACACTTGGCAACTGTGCCCTCATGAACAGCTACTTGATCTTCCCTTTAGAAACAGTCTAGACGTGCAGTGACCTATAGGCGCCTGTTTTATTTCTTTTAATGGGAAGCAGCTAATGAAAAAAAGATCTGGAAAAAAAAGCTGGCAAACACACAATCATTGTGCGCAAGGGCACTCAGAACAAGACTACTGAACGGCTCAGCCTCCGACTTTTACGCCTGGCATCAACCTCTGCTTCATTCCTTAAACTTCACGGCTTCAAAGGAAATCCTTGTCCTTCTGGCTCCAAAACCACTTCTCAGAGCCACAGCCATAACGTTTCATCACGAGAAAACAATTGATAACACACCACTGTTTTCACGGTGAGGCCATGGAGAGAGAGGAGAGGAACTCTGAGAGGTAAACTTAGAAATAATTACAGTGTTTCATAGTATCAAATAATAGTATTTTACCTTGTTGTTACTCTGGCTTTCTGTGTACATGTACATGCCCCCACCTTGTGTGGGTGTTGCTATAGTAACCATACGGTATAAACACCTCTGATAGTATATTCTGGCATTCCCGGTGTCTGGTGTAGTAAAACACAGTAAAAACATGTCAACGCCACAGGAAAATATTGTTCTACTGGCAGGGTAGTTTGTTCCACACTCCCACAACCCCTTTGGGTAAAGAAGTGCCTCCTGTTATCTCTTTTAAATACACTTCCACTTAGTTTTAGTCCTGTGCCCTTGGCTCGTGTTGGCAGCACACAGTTTAGCCATGGCTGCAGTGCAGGAACTCCATCAACACAGAGAATAATAGAATAATAGACGATCCTCTCCTGACTCAGGGCATTTTTTGTCTTAAAAGGAGAGAACTTGCTGTGACCTCAGATCTAGCCCCTTGCGGTTCTCAGCTGGGAGGTGTGTTTTCACCCACAGAATGGCTGCTGTTGTGGTGACAACAGGCCACAGAGTACCCTTTCTCTTCACTCAACTGTTAGACCTGCCTGGGGGCCAAGGCAACCAACAAGAATTGTCATTGCTTTTTTCTAGTTGAAAACTGAGAGTAAGGCACTTTCTTATATTTTTTCTTGCCTCCTCTACATTGCCTCTTTCCAAAAATGAACCTTTGTATGTTTACAGTTTTTATTGTAAATCACTTGAGATGACAAGTCAAAAAACAAAATATCGCAATCATATCAATATAAGCATGCACACAACTGCCTTGATACAACAGCATCCTACATCCCAACTACCTTTCCAATACGGAGCAATTTCTGATTTTGCATGGTTTTTTTAATGACGGTAAATTTCAGGACAATAGAGGACATGCAGGTTAGAGCATGCTCGCAAGGCAGTCCAAGCTGTGTGGTAAACACACATTACACAATGCTCCAAAACCTGGAAGCTACAGCACAAGATGCAGAAGATTATGTATGATATTGTGATCAGGTCTTGCATCACAGCATAACTGATAAAAAGGGAGAATCTTCTCAAAGCAGGCATACTGAAATCACTGTGAAAAGCAGATACAGATGTTGAATACAATCACAGGTTTGTGCTGTAAAGCAGCAGTGCATGTACTGTGATTGTTCCCCCTTCTTTATGATAGAGATAGGTGATGTACTCTGCTGAAACTGAGCTCTCTGAGCTTTACTCAGTGTTGAACTTACAGACAGGCTCTTTAAACAAGTTGGCCTCTTTTGCTTATGGATTCTTAACATAGGACTGGATATTGGCAAGAACAAAAACACAAATGTTACAATTTAGCCTCTAAATGGTTTTAGGAGATTGTTGCATGTCTAATCCTGCCAGTAAACCTTACTTTGGAATGAGAAACCTACTTCGATGCTCTTTGTTTATGCAGGAACGTTCGAGCATGTGTATTTGCCAGGGCAGTTTTACTCTTACTTCCTTAGTAAGACACTTTATGTAGCAGGGGTGGCCAAGCCCTATTCCCTCTGCTCTGCTCTGAATCCATTTTGTATCAATGAATTTATTACAATGATCAATACTCATTTGTGATCCACATTTTTACAGACGGCCTTAATGAAGTGCAATAAAACTAAAACTGCAGTTTTAAAGACCTCATTGGTAGCACTGCCAAGGGCGCAGCAGGCACACAACAGAGACTGCAGAACCAGACTGTGGCTTGTGGAAATTGCATTCACAGAGTTGCCACATACACACAGCCTGTTCAACACAATTAGCTGGGGCTTGTGCTGTCGGTTGCACCACAGGAATGAGCAAAAGACTGCTTTCCTGAACCTGGATGTGTTCTTTGCATTGTAAGTCATTAGTGGTTGGGGTTTCCCAGGAAATGAAATATACTAAGACTATTTTTTCTGTCAGCATTTTTAATGCCTATAGCAGACATGCTCCTTTATGGTCTTTGCCTACTATAAATTCTAATTACCTCAGTAACAGACCAAAAAGAATTATGGCAAATTCGGTTTTATTACCATAAACTGCAGTAAAAAAAAGTAAAAGTTTTCTCAAATGAGTGGGTTGGGCTTGGTTGATACGTTCTACCATACATGCCACATTCCTTAAAAACTGTAATTCCTGCTCATGGAGGACAAACATGAGTTTTAGGGTGTGGGTTCCTAATATTTTGGGCAGTGATTGAAGATCTCTTCAAATGATTGCCTCTTTGAGACCTGGTGATGTGGTTACATCACTCTGTTTTGTGAATAAGAGTCTGAATTACCTAATTAAGAGCCCAGGTGCAATGGCTTGAGCAACACTGATGTGGATGATGTAAAGATCCATAGTAGGAGAGCCTGATGAAACCTTCAAAGGCATCAGACTGGGCAGGAATTTCAATTAGACTTCATTTCAGACCAGCAATGCTCACCCTTGGGGCCAGTGAATCACACCGTCTTCTGAACTTTATTCCACCTGAACTCTTGCTGTAAACGTGGACCAATCACAAGTGTTTACCAGAGGACCCAGTTAGGCTCTGGTTACCTCTAAAGAAGTTTTGAGTCTTTCAGTTTCAAACTCGAGATATACTGTAAGCATGTCATCCACTCACTTGTGATCATTAGAAAGCAGCACACTTGAGGATGCTGTCAAGGCATTTGTGCTGTCACCTGCCATCAAATTCTAATGTTTGTGACCTGCATAAAAAGAAACATCCCTGAACTAATAACACAGAGAAAAGAGGCATGGTGCCATAAACAGATACTTCCAAATCAAAGGTTTGGGTTGGTGTGGCTTTAGTGTTGTGGGTTGACACATTACAATAGAAGAATGAAAGTGTGATATTTGATGATGATGTGCTCAGCTTTAGTTGAAAACTGGATTTGAGGATCCTTAATCCTGGTGTTAGACTCCATTTTAACTGAAAATATGTAGTTAAACATTAAAGATCTAAGTCCTCAATGGTACTAAAGT